AGTCTCGGGTTTTTTCTGATAGGCAGGATGATCTGGTAGTGGCGGTGGTAGTAGTAGCAATAGTCGTAGCGAAGTAGTAGCGAAGTAGTGGTGGTGGTGGTGGTCGTCGTCGTCGTCGTCGTTGTAGTAGTAGTAAACAAGTAGGAGGGAGTAGATCAGGTTCGAATTGGCAGGCCAAGGTCAGTAAGGGTCAGTTCAAGAGGATTCAACCTGCCCCTCGGTCAGGTAATAGTAGTAGTAGTAGAAGTTGTGATAGCCAAGTAGTAAGGAAGTAGACTGAATTGAATTGTCTGATAAAATAATCAAAAATGGTGGTCGTAGTCAGAGCAACAACCACTCGGTCAGTCAGTCAGTAGGTAGTAGGCAAGTAAGGTCTCCAGTAGGGCAGAAAAGCCACCGTAGGTAATACTTTGGGTTCTGCTTTACAATTTACCAATTCCCGTAAATAAAAACAAATGGAAATGGATAATATAATGATAGTACAAGACTAAAGGAACCTCGGGAGTGGCAAGAGAGAATAGGATCCGGGAAAGAGGAACAAGAAGGGAAAAGGAAGAAGAGAGGGAAGCGGATGGGAAAACCGACAAGACTCGCAAAGCCTCTTCCTTCCTTTCCTTCTCTTCATTTCTGACTAGTAATGCGGAGGGGAGGGGGAACAGACAGAACAATTCGATTCGAATCCACCCCAAGGCTAAAGGGGAGTGCAGCGTCTCGCCAATCCCGCGTCCTCCGAGACCTGCTTGCTTTTTCCTCCTCAGCAGCGACGAGGCATCAGATTCCCTCCTGCCACCTTCTCCGGCTTCCTACTCGTCCTGTCCACCGGAACTACTGGAGACGGTGGACTCTCGTACATGGACCACTTCTGCACACCATCCACGATAGGCCTGTCCTTTTCCTAAGAAAGAAAGCTGCCTGAATGAAAGGATGGCCCGGCGGTTTCGCTTCTTCCGTCTATCGTACTACTACTTCTTCTTCGCCTCTGCGTAGGCCGAGGACATCCGCCGATTATCTAGATTATCTTCCCCTCATCCCCTCCTGGGTCAATGCGATACATACACTCGTCACTTTGGTTCAATCAACATCACCGCCACCATCACACCCATGTTCTCACAACGCCAGCCAGATGAGATACACGGGACCCCCCCAGCGTCCTTCTACCGATACCCCTATCCTTGTATTTACACCTACGATGAGCTTTCCCGTCTCTCCAATTTCTCCCGACCGGTGACTCAAGGTTGATTTTCCATGGTCATTAGGCGTCCATCTCACAAGCCAGCTTCAACACTTGGTCAGCCACGGATCCAGGCAAGAATGCCCGTTCCGTGAACAAAACGAACAGCGATGATGGTGGTGGCGGCAATATGACCATAGAACCCGCCGTCTTTGGACAGCTTGACCAGGTCAACCTGGTGATGCTGCAGTCTCTAGTAGAACCAAGCAGGTTGGCGAGGCCAATGAGGGGCCCTAGACATCCCGATGATCGCGAGGCAGCTTACAACATGAAACGGACGTCGCCAGCTGCAATCTCGGGCCTTGGCAGTCCAGAGATGAAGTAAAAAGCAAACCTCGAGGGACCATGGATCCGGATCTTTGCTGTTTACGTGGGTGCCAGGTTCACTTTTCCTCCCAATGAAATAGCCTGATGGGAGACAATGAGAGCGGGGTAAAGGACCGCTACCTCCTCTTTCCCCCATCGACCGTTGCTTTTAGTCTAGTCCACTCTTCCCGCTTCATATGACGAGTGCAGGGCTTTGCGGGACCCATGATGCAAGATCGGTCTCTCTTCATTTTCAAATCGTTCCAGGTAACTTATCAGGTAGGCTGCTTGTGCCCCCTAGAAACGAGCTTCTCTCCCTCATCCTTCGCCCGTTCCCAAGCACCTTATCTGTACCCTCCTAGGCTGGTTTGAAAGGTTCTAGATAGGCCCGTGAACCGTTTTATGGGACCCTGTGAGTCCGTTCCGAGCACGGTCCCCCCGGTGCGCCTATCGTTCCGATGACAGAGCTTACTGTCCTGTCCGCCATTCTCGCTATCCTTTACCTTGCAGGCCAAATGTCGATGGTCTTCCACTTCGGGCAAATACTGTTTCCAGTGACTGCGTTGGTACCAGTTGGGGTTCCATGTACAACAGATTGCTAATGCAGTGGCGTATGCAGCTGAAGGTAGGAAAATAGAACCGACATTCGCTTTGCAGTCGAACAATGCAACCACCTAAGCCGGATCAACTTGTCTGAGTGGCTCTAGCATATAATACACAATACCTAGGCTGCGAGACTGAAATGACTGATGGCGATGGCGTACACGTGGTGGACCACAGCATGATTGGACTATGCCATTATGCAGGTATGTACAAAGTTGTCATTGTTCAATTGCGGATAGTTCTTAGAGTATCAATATCACCTCGAACAGTTGAGCTACTTATATGAAAAGAACAACGTCGTGATCTCGAGATGGGGTAAGAGCCTATCTGAGGTAGTAGCCTTAATAGTACAATTAGCGCTCGCAAGAAGACTTTTCTAGAAGAGGGTTACCCTTCAACTAGCCAGAAAAGAAGTGGGTCACGAATTAAGGCAATGTGGCGCATGCTCAACTTTATCTTCTTTGGTTTCGGTTACCTCCATCTGGAGAACAGAGCTTTATCTAAACTTAGGTGATTTTATAGCCGAAGATGCATATCAAAGACATGCTACAAGTATCTCTATGCCAGCAAAGGCTTCTTGCTTGGAGTGGTCTAACGAGGTGCCTACGCCGGAATTAAACAGGTTGCGAATCGTCTGTTCCAATGAACTCGGTACTAGCTTTTGCTTCGAGATACCCTTGGAATATGCATTCTTTTACGACAGAAACTATGACCTGTTTACAATTCGGTAGGTTTACCGACCGAGAAACTAGAAACCCTGTCTAAACACTGCTACTGTTCACCCGAGTTGTACGAGATATATATTACATTTCAGAATCTTTTCACCTCCTGATATCAAACTGCCTATAAGATATATGTTGCTATACGCCTCAAAGTAACACCGAGAAGATATACTAAACAGTGAGTCTACTAAGTACAGACGCTGCATTAAAGGCAAGTACTTCCTCAAAAGCTATAGATGTGAACCGAACCTCGGTTCCTCATGCCTTCTCCGCTTATCCCATATACCTCCACTTAATCAAGCAACCAACCAATGATTTTATCTCTCTCTTCGCTTTGACTGATAGGATGTGTATACAGCCTTCACCGCCAGCTTCTTCCTATATTTAGCCGCAATAGCAGAACTTTTGAACTTGTCACTTCTTCCTTATGGAGTACATTTACAGTGAGTCGGGGGGCCAGATTCTTCATCTTTGTTAAGTTCATGACCATAGCTGGATGTCCTTGAAGAAAATGATAATATTCCTAGATAGACATCTCTCAGGAAAGGAGAGTTCGGAATTTCAGCTCGCTGGTCTAGATAAGGCCGAAGTTTTGCGGCAGATTACTGCTCATAACTAAATTCGACCAATACCTCACACGGTCGATCAACGATCTTTGATCCAGCTATCTCAACATTTTGCTCAGTCTTTCTTACTAGCTTCAGTGTCTTTTCCTGAACTATGGATGAGATGAGGTGACTTCACGTACAAGCTAGAATCAAGGAATGTTCTCCCAGCATGGGTCACCACTTTGAAGCTTAGAAGCATAAACCGGTGCGTAAATTTCCATGTCCATTACAAGGTTTGCCTTTCACTAGATCTGGAGAACCCATAAGGGCGGGTACTGATATATCCTAGTGAATAACCAGTTGTCCGTCTGAGTTTCATGTGAGCTGAATTGTGAAGTTAGGCGACAAAGCAAGGAAAGGACAGAGCCAGCACTCGATTACACCATTCGGGGTTTCCTAGCTGTTGTACCAAGTCAAGAGCGCCAAAATCTGATACTCTCAAGAGACATATTCGACAATACACCCCATTTACAAGATCTTTCCTTTCCTTGCTTGCGCCGGCTCTCTAACGCTCTTCACACACTTGGTGCTCTATCTTGCTAGTATAAAGTCATCGAACTGTCCAAAGAGCATCAGCCCCGACCGTCAACTATTCTATTAGCTCAGAAGTTTCCGACATGATAATCGCGGAGTTCTACTCCATACGCGGTGGCACCTTTACCCCGCTCTTCGTCTCCTATGCACAGCATACGCAGCGTGCGAATGGAGTGGCAGTGAGCTAAATACTGCTGCCGCATTATCCACCGCCAGAGTCACGATGATTGGTCTGCTAGCTACCTGGGATGAGAGGGCATTTGGATATACAAGGGTGCAACAATATCTACTCGTCAGTGTCGGTTTGGGTGTGACCAGGCTGGCGCGATGGTCTGTCCAGACCATTCACCCCGGAGCTAGAAATGCGCCTCAACTCCTTCAGCTTCGAGGCAGCTATGGGAAAAGGAGCGCATCATCGAAAAGAGAATAGAGGTTGAATTACCCGCCAACCCACAGTATCTACAGCAAGCATTCATCAAGTGGATTTGCACAGTTGATGGCAGACTAAACGTTAGGGAGGGGTCTGTAGTGGCCTGAAGTGAATAAGTAGTATTCGGCTCGTATCCCCTAACTTGTTCTCTGCCAATAATTGTTTACAGGGGATTCTGTTATGGAAGTAGCGGGGTTAACTCTTGACAGTTGATAGGCATTGCCATGGAGAGACAGCTTTGTGGCTCCCCGGCGCTGTTTGATATCATGTTACTAGACGGCCTACTGTTTGCTGGGGCAATTTATCAAAGCCTACAGGTAGACCCTAGCTTGAACTGCTTCATCCAAGTCAGCGATGTCTTGTACCATTTCTGTTCTGACAGAACGGATATAAAAGGTGGACAGGGCGTCCTGACGTCATCAGGAGAGATAACTACACAGTGACACAAGCGTCCACTGTACGCCAGTGGTCACGTGAGGACACGCGGCACGGGGCCCCCAGGTGCAGGTGGATCCCATCGGTGACGGTGAGCTCTCCCTTGGTTGAGACCAGATAAGGCGGAAGCTCACAGGTTGACGCGGCCAGTGCAGGTCCATGACAATTAGACCGCTCATCACTGCTACATCAGCTCTTGTCGTGGCATCTTCAGCCTCTTTAAGACCAGTGTGCTTGGTCTTCCAACCTCGCAATCTCTCGCATTGACCGCATTGTCATACAGCGGCCGACAACCTACGTTACCCGACCGGGTCTCTGGGTTGATTAACGGAGCACGGTCCACACGAGGACCATCGAGGACCATCTCTCACGAACTTGCTAGATCATCTTGATGGTGCTCTAGAAAGTGGGTTGCAGGGCGATTCCACCGTGAAAGCTGCTTGACAAGCTTTCTCTTTATATATACTCTTTATTAACCATGCTGAACCTCAATATCTTCCGGCTACTGGCCGATCTCTCCCATATCTCCTCCAAATGTGTCTTGATATGGGCTATCCATCGAAATAAGAGCGCAGAAGGTTCGTATGATAGATTGCATCATTGCAATGTGCTGCGAGCTAAGCATTGTTTCACATAATAGGAGTTTCCCTTCTGACGCAGATGCTCTATGCTTTGGTGTTCGTGACTCGTTATCTCGACCTTTTCTCGAAGGCAGGATGGAGGCACTTCTATCTCGTATTCTTCAAGCTATTCTATATAATATCCTCGTTCTATGTTATATACCTGATGATGAGAGTATTTCCCCGGACACGGGAAAGGGAGCGAGCCTGGAAGATGGCTATAATATCGGTCGCCCTATCTCTGGTTCTGGCACCCATATCCATTGTCATCTTTTATCGTGGTTATCCCGATAGATGGTTCACAGAGGTAAGTTGCATGGCTCGCATTGGCCTGTTGATCTCGCTAACCGAATCATGATGATATGCAGACTTGCTGGACCTTCTCGATCATCTTAGAGTCCGTCTGTGTTCTCCCTCAATTGTTGCTCCTGCGCCAAACGACCGTTCCAACAGTCATCGATTCATACTACCTGCTTATGCTGGGCTCCTACCGCGCCTTCTATATTCTCAATTGGCTTGTACGGGGACTGGGCTCTGAGGGTCACTGGGACGTGATTGCAGACCTCTACGGTGTCATCCAGACGGCTTTCTATGTTGATTTTGCCTGGGTTTACTATACCCGCCAACGTGTGAAGCTCCGAAATGGCGGAGTTGTTGACTCGGAAGATTTCCGCCACAGCTGGCTAGTGAGCAAGATCCTGAACTTCCGGCAGCGGAGGAGTGCAGATGAGGAGCAAAATCTAAATGAGGAGGACGTGGAGGACGAGGAGATCGCTGGTGGCGGTAGACCAAGGAACAACCGCTGGGGAGCAAGAGGGATCTCCGTCTCGGCCGACGATACGCTGGGGAACCATCGTGGGACAAGCCAAGACGAGAGTCTAGAAGGGTTCTTAGAAGATGAAGAAGACGACGGTGACAATAATGGGTACCCTGTTAACGGGGGCGCTCATCCGAAGCAGTCAACCGGGGTAACGGGCAGTCACGAATGAACTGTCTGCCCTTAATCCCCATATATAGAAACCCTGCTGCAGATCAGCCGGTTTTGGTTACACGGCTCATTGTCCTCAGGGCATTATATACTTCCCTAGGGCTCGTTCTCCCCTTTCGCTACTTTCATGGCCTCTTTTCTTTATTACTCGGGTTCTTGTTTGCATGGAATTTCTCTCACGTCATCAAAGTTTTCACAATCTCAAATTATTTCTTTTTTGGAAATGTAGTAATGCAATATGGGTCCAAACTGAGTTAAGACACGGACATTTTGGATGCCAGTTCACCCGTTGCTGACGGTTAGATCATCCATGATTCAGTGGCAGGGTTGATTACTAGATGAGATCATCCCCCAGCATCCGAGGGGGCTATAGGTGAAACACAGGTGAGAACGACCCCATCGTTTCAGGACTACAACCAGCCATTGCTGCGCCTGCCCATAGCCACAGCTCCTCGTGTGGGCATTGGACCATCGAAGAGGAACCCAGGTAAAAGGGGAAAGACGAGAGGGAAGAACGAAGGGGCCAATTTGAGGGCAAAAAACGCCTAGGCGACAACCTTGCCCTCATTCGGCAAATCCGGCATTGACCGACATCCTCCTGCTCTTGATCAGATCCGCGCCCGGTCCAAAATAGATCATTACTAGTGTTAGCGCGCGAGCCTGAGGATGGGCCTTTTTGTCTTCTCTTCGTTCATGAAGGGGAAATAGTGGGATTGATGACAAGGTGGCATCCACTAACCCTGAGGGGAAACTGAGAAACCCAGTGACATCACGTGGATGCGCCCCGGGGGCCCCGATCGTTCGACTCGCTGAAAGAATGAAGATCATCCACATGGCGGTGATGTGCGCAAACCGACAGTGAGAGGGGCCTCGATGACACGCCGGTCAGAAGGCCGTTCCATAGGGCCAAATCCCTCGCGGACGCCGAAAGGAAATCCAGCATGAAAATCTTGAGCGAAGTGCACTAAGCGAATTCCAGAACAAGACGGCCTCCCCGAGCAAACCGGCGATTCCTTAGGCGCCAGTGCCATGGCGGGAATCTCCGGACTGGAATAATGGTTGGAGATGGACGTTCCTGTGAAGCAACTCGCAGGTCTGGAGAGGACCACCCCATCCATCCTCATCTCATCTGGCGCGTAACTCACCTTTCCCTTCGGGGACACGTGGCTTTGGTTGAACGCAGGTAGCCGGCAGGATGAGCACTGGACCGATCATATCTTAACCTGCTGGATCCAGGGGGACAGCCTTCCCGGCACCCGCGCATGAGTGGACTGAAATGGGGAGAGACCATACATCATGGCCGTTCATTACGGGCCTGGCGGATGGCTTTGGTGGTCAGCTCGACTCCGTAGGGCGATTGCACTAGTCCGATCGCAAAACCACAACAAGCATGTCTCCCCATGTCTGTCAGACAAGCCCGCCAGCCTAGCCTAGTCCAGTCCGTTCTGATCCACCGGGATTTGCAGCCGCAGCGACGGAGAAGCGCTTAATGGCCTATCTTTCCGTGCTACCCCTGCTCATAGAGCTTCCTTGATGCTCTCCTCCGGTTTTGCTGGTAACCGTGTTTCCTCCACAGCTTTCCGAACAGGATTTAGTTGCGTCCGGCTAACAAAGCACCAGAATCCTGGCTTATGACCTACCGTTGTTGGGGCTGCGTCTAGTAGCTTGTCAATTCGTCTTCTCTTGGCCGCTCTCACCCTCCATCTCCACCTTCCGTAGCGGCTAGGAAACTGGCGATGCGTTCATCTGCCGTTCGGAGACTTTCTGGTGTATTTTTTCCACGCTTTTTGACGGATTTGTAGTCATCTAATTATTTGTTATTATACTTTTTCCATTTTGCGATCCTTTACCCGGGATTTTCTTATCCGCTAGGCTTTCTCCGTTGGACTTGACCATTAGCAGAACTGTCAGCTCCAGCGCTAACCCACTGATTGCCATTTGATATGGACTATGGGCGGTTCGCTAAAGTGTCGGTTTTTGTCACTCTTTCCATGGCATTACCCATTCGACAGTGCCCACATCAGGGATCCAGTACATCGGAACTAAGATCGCAGCAGGTACTGCCTTGTTCTTGAGTAACATGGGTGGGCCTGGGAATGCAAAAGTCTGAGCCCCGGGGGGTTTGGGGGCTGGATTGTCTCCCTTCTCATGTCATGTCAAGAGATGAGAAATTATTTCTCTCTCCTCCCCTGCCCCTCTAGAAAATGGAGCCATCCGCCTGGAATCAGCGGGCGCTTAAATGCAGGCGCATGGTCATACCTACAACCTCTGATTGCGATTCAATTTTTGCGGCACAGTGAAAGTGGGCGGTACCTACCATGTTCACTAGAGCTCTCTGAGCCCGACCACCAAAGGCTTCACACTTCTGGCCTGCCTTGCGAGGCATTTTGTCTTTCATTGATATCTCCTACTCGAGTATATGAACCCACACGCACGTCCATTAAACTTCTACTCCATCCTTCCACATTTCACTTCAAAAGCAATCTTTGCCTTTTCACCTGACGATTACGACTTGTGAAGAACTATAATTCTTTTCTATCTGACTCATTCTGAAGAAGCCTTCTTAATCTCTCTACTCGTTCATTCGTCCAGCTTAATCATCTATTATATTAGTCTCCTTGCCACTGCTGGCGGTTTGCCCTCTTGCGTGTTTCATCCACGTTACATTCCTTCCACAACAACAGCCCCTGCATCATTTGCAACCGCACGCTGGCCTTCACAATGTATCCCCAGACACCCATCGGATACTCGGCGCCAATGGTGTTCAGCCATGGTGGCTCGAACCCCGGAGATGGACTTGACGAGTACTATGCCAGCATGCAGCCTCAGTGGACCGCACTCGATACTGTACGTTGTATTCAGATTTATTGGATCGCCACTTGCTAACTATTCCGACATATAGTCACCTTATACCAGTGTTAGCAATCCTTATACTACCGCAGCAGCTTTCCCGACTGGTGCCATCTTGACTCCGATCAGCCTTCCGGATAGCTCCTTCAGACCAAGCCCGGTGCTCAGTCATCACTCACAAGAATTTCACTACAACGTTCCCGAGTCTGTCCCACCACAAGGCCTAGGCATCACCGCACCCTTCCCCAGCAGTTTCCCCCGTACTGTCACCGCAGGTCTGGGACATACCTCAGAGGAACCGGACTTTGGCTTCAGCGAAGCTATCCTGTCACCTCAACCGCCACCCGCGAAGAGGGTCCGACGTGGGCCCAAGCAGGCAGTCACACCCCGAGAAGCACCGGTTACAATACTACCTAATCCTGAAGGGCTGCAGCGCATGGAACAAGAGCGACGACAAGGGGCAGCCGACGCTCAAAACAGTCAAAGGCCCCGGGCTCCGGGTCGGGGGAGGCGAGACCCGCAAGCTGAGGAGGAAGACGCATTTGTAGAGAGGCTTCGGGAGCAGAATCTAGCCTGGAAAGTGATCCGGGAGATGTTCCGGAACAAGTTCCACAAGGATGCCTCGGAGGCACGTCTACAAATGCGCATGTTGCGGCGACGGAAGGAGCGATTGGCACGGTGGGACGAGAATGATGTGAGTACGTGCGCCCAAGCAGTCGCAAATTGTCAACTAATTAACGATCAAGTCATCCAGATCCGACTGCTCATAAGAGCGCGGGAGTACTGGGAGCATGAGAAATACAACGTGATTGCACAGAAGGTGAGTCCCTAGTGCAACCTTGGCCCAATGGACACTTGCTAATTAGATTACGAATCCAGATGAAGGAGTTCGGAGCGGGACCGTACACCCCAGAGCAATGTGAAGCCCAATTGCGATACCTCGATGCACAGAACCGGGAGCGTAGCACTGGTCCGCGAACACGAATACCTGATCCTCAGCCATCGCGAAAGCGATCATGGTCAAAGGTGGCCTCCAGTGTGGCCAGTGGTAGTACGAAGTAGCATTTGTGGTTTTTTGGGAATGTACTTTTTTGACTTTTTTTCTGGGAGGGATGTTGAAGCGCATTATGGATTCCTTTGGGGCTTTCTTATTTTGTTGGGGGGAAATTACACGCAAGGATGATTGTTTACGTCTGGATGAGTTTCTTTGTTTACTTGGATATACCCTGTGACCGATTGCATGCGAATGACATATTTCTGGATAATTTTTGAGCAACGTGAATCTCAAATCATGGACTTCGAGAGAGCGTCTCCCGACATCGGGAGAGAAAGCGAGCACGCCAATCAAGGACGGGCCTTGCTCAGGACGCTAATGCGACGGACAAAGAGACGAAGCCAGCGTCGTACAGCCCCTAGGGAGTTTCCCAGCTGCTAAGCGATCATAATTAAACTTTCAGGCCATCTAACGGCTGAAGATCAGCTCGACTAGGGGCCCAGCTAGCCTCTTTTGGTGGGAGATAGGCTGCATCTCCAGAGGTCAGTTCTTAGCCGCCAGCAGCCCCAAGCCACACGACAGCTGGAGGACGTCGGTCCCTATGAAAGAGCCGCCGGGCTGATCCTCCACACGCTTACGTACAGATACATATTGCCTAGCAGCTGCCTAACTGGTGATGTTTTAGGAGGAATGCAGTCAGTGACTCAAGCAGTCTGGACCGGGTAGAAAACTACTCGGCTAAGTTTAGCCTGGTGTTACCGGCCAATGCAATGACATGCTCTGCCATGCCATGCACATGTACATGTACATGCACCTTTCAGCCGCAGCAGCAGGGATTGTCAACTTCTTCCCACGGCGCTGGTTTTACCGCCTGCTTTGGCTCCTCGGGGATAAGACTAGTGTTCATGGCACAGCTATCTTGCGCACGCCGATGACAACATGATCGTCTGCCTAGCATCTAATTGAATTGCCTTCCGTCAAATCCTGCCGTCGATTCTGCGCCAGCATGGCGGAGCACAGGATTTCCAGAATCAAAGCGCCAGGAATGGTTACTGCGCTTCTAGCGTCGCTGTCGTCTTCCACCCCCTCAGCGGGCGGGCTTGCTGAATGTTGTACACGTCTTTGCCATTGCATTCATTCCGTTCGGACCTTCTCCGGGTTCTTGAATGATAAGCATCTTAGACACACTAGCTACGAGGGTCGTGCATTCGTTCAACGTTACGGGGGCTAGACACCCAGCATCAGGGTTTACGAGAGGAAGGGAGTAGCAGCAGGTGCCCGGGCTGTGCACACCCGAAACATAGGCTCTAATGGTCGTCCTCCCCCTCCTCTTCTATATCCTCATCCACTATAGGGAACGTCAACAGGGCTGCCACCCCTCCTAGCCCATCAAGTCGCCTTCCACTCTCATGGTCGGAGCTAAGCACTCGCACCTCACCACCCTCGACATCCCGTACCCGATCGACCAACGATACCCAGCGTTTGCGCTCCGCCACGTCCTGTGACCTGAACAGCCGATTGGAGATGATCAGCACGCCGCCACCGCGGCCAACAGCACCCTGGTCGACAGCGAATTCAACCTCGCGGGGACCATATGTCGCTTTGTTGGTTTCTTTGCGGAGCTGATCGAGAAAGTCGTCCATGAGCTTTGTCTCGCGCGCGTACTTGGTATCGGCAAGGATGGTCTTCACAGCCGGCGACTGCAGCACTTCCGCTAGCGAGTGCAGATAACCGGAAGCCGAGTGTACAACCACAATACTGGGTAGGAGGCGTTTAAGTGCGGGTGTCGAAGTGGATGCCTGCGACTGGATGTACTTCTGGAACCCGGAGGCCACGAAGCCTGGCGATGCAAGCAGAACCGGCCGAACGATCTCACTGCTGGTGAGTGAAGCCGAACTGGTGTTGAATTCCAGCTGGCGCAGCAGCGTATCGAGTGTAACCTGGAAGAATTTCGACATACCCTTTCCCCATCCCAACCTGTCAGCATACACAAACAAACCCAACACGGGGACAGATAATCATAGTACAACCCACCTTATCATGATCACCCCCACCATGCCGTTTCCTGGGCACCGACATCTCAATCTTCTGCTTTAGGATAGTCTGAAACTGCCCAATAAAGCAAATATGCGCCAACCCTTCCTGCATCACCACGGCCACGGCCTCCGCCCTCCGTTGTCCCCCTTCATCCACCGCATCCTTCAACATCTGCACCGCGATACTGTCCCATCCGACGCCCTCACCGTCCGCCCCAACCTCCTTTTCTAACGTGAAGTTCCGATTCAGCTCGAGATCGAGTGTATGGTGCTGTCCGATCTTCGTATGGGCCGTCTCGTTCACAATTGTCCCGCTAACATGTAGCTGCGAGCTCTGCGGATCAAAATCAAGGTTCTTAACGCGGATCTCGAGCGTCAAGTGGACTCGAGCTGAGCTAGTAGAACCGGTTTCCTGAGTTGTGGTGACACGACGGATAGCGCTGGCGCGGAGGAGATCGTTCGGGCGGATGAGGTTGTATGCGTGCCACTGAAGCCGTTAGTTAGACAAAGAGCTACCCCTCAACCAGGAACAGAGTATACCGTACCATGTCCTCAGGCTCCTCAGGACACAAGGTCACCGTTCCGGAGCCATTGTGCTCGATCTTGTTCTTGATGAGACGCATCTTGGCTGTAGAGCAACAGAGTTCCTCGCACGGCGGGGTAATGTTTTTGTAACTGGGACAGACAGCCTCGCGTGGTAGCAGATGTCTCTCAGTACGTTTAGTTATATGCTGAGCAGTCAGATACCTCCTAATCAGTATCACAATCACTCAAAAGATAGATAGGTAAAATCGTCACCGTCTCCGACAGACAGATCCCTCCTTCCAATCAGGCTCTGGATGATGACGACCGAACTGACTTGCGGGCGGCAGCCTCAGGCCAGGGCCACCCACCAGCTGCGGGACCGTCCCAAAGCGGACTAGCGATGTTGTGTCATCCGACCGAGGCTTGACTAACTATCGATAAGAGGCGGAACCCTAAGACCTAAGCCCTGGTCGGAGATAAGATGATCAGATAATAATTATCCCAGTGGATTTGATGTATCATAGTGGGTATGTCTATCCGATGAACATCATAGCAGAGACTGAGTCTGAAGACTGCTCTTTTCCCCACGGATCTTAACTATCCGGGCATATAGTCTAGCATCGAATAATATCAAATACAAAAACTGGAATCAGCACACCACACCGGACCCTCTAAACCCGAGTTCTTCCATCTCCGCTCATACGTACTAACTTGAACCCCCATGCCTTTCTGGACGTGGGGCGGGATGAGCGGCATTACTTTAATAATGGTTCATTTCCCGGGTTGAGGGGGACCTTGAGTATAAATTAGTCTCGTATTTCTTCTTATTGAGTAATTGGCCGCTTCCTCTAACCTCTACATACACCTTTCTCTCTCCAAGAATAACAGAAACAGGGTATACTGAGCAAAATGTCCCTCTCACTACAATCGACCAAGAAAATGGTCTCGGGGTACGAGATCCCTGTTCTCGGATATGGTGTAAGTATTCTTCATCCTTCTGTCTAGTTTATCTCCGGGTCAAGAAGTTCTCGACTAAAGTGTGTACCCATTGTATAGGTCTATAAAACGTGCGTCCCTACTAACCCCTACCATACCAACCCAAGCCACCTCATCAATTAACTCGTTGAACAGTCCCCCCGACGTCACCGAATCCGTAACCCTCAAAGCACTGGAACTCGGATACCGTCACGTACGCACACCACCCCCTGCCTCTCCGCGACTCCAACCCAACTAACCAACCCAATTTGTTGTAAACGATAGATCGACAGCGCCCAACTCTACAACAACGAAGCCGAATGCGCCCTCGCCATCAGCCGCTCCAACATCCCGCGCTCTCAAATCTTCTACACAACCAAGATCCCCACCACGCACATGTCCTACGAGAAAGCCAAAGAAGCGATCGAGTCTAGTCTAGCAGCTGCCAAGGGATTGGGGTATATCGATCTGTACGTCTATCCCCCCACCCCCCTTATACAAACCTACATCCAGATACTAATAAACAACGGGGATAATGTAGAATGCTCCTCCACGCCCCCTACGGCGGGCGCAGCGGCCGACTCGGCGCATGGCGCGCCCTCGTCGAAGCGCAAGCAGCAGGGAAGATCCGCTCGCTGGGGGTATCGAACTATGGCATCCGGCATCTAGAGGAGCTGGAGGAGTATATTCGAGGCGGAGGGGGCGGGGAGATTTCCGTCGGACAGTATGAGATTCATCCGTGGTGTGCGCGGGAGGATATTGTGGGTTGGTTGAGGGCGAGGGGGGTGGTGGTTGAGGCGTATGCGCCGCTTGTGCAGGCGAAGAGGATGCAGGAACCGGTGTTGAGGAGGTTGGCGGGGAAGTATGGGAAGAGTGAGGCGCAGGTTTTGGTGAGGTGGAGTTTGCAGAAGGTGAGTTCTCTGCCTTTCTTTCTTCCTTTCTTTGAGTATGGGTGGTGGGATGCTAACGAGGTGTAGGGATACGTGCCGCTGCCTAAATCTGTGACCGAGTCGAGAATCGTGGAGAACTCGCAGGTGTTTGATTTCGAGTTGTCCGCGGAGGATATGGAGGAGTTGCAGACGACGGAGTATGCGCCTGTTAGTTGGGATCCGGCGAGGGATTCGAAGTTGTAGATGAACACTCTGGAGAAAGAAGAGTTAGTCGCTGAATGGAAGTTAGTATGAATAGAGCGAGACGATAGTGAATAGGAACAAAGCAGACAACAATAACCAAGATAGATAAGTGAGAGTCAAGTCAATACGGGGTAAACAAGCGGTAATCCAATCTCGGCACAACATATCCCCGTCGCGGCCTCCTTCCGCATTCCACCCCAACTACTACTACTACATACAAACTATAATCAACAACATCAATCGATAGTACCTACGACACACCCATGGCCTCTCCACAATAACCTCCCTCCCTCCCTCTACGACAAGACATGCCTCCTCACCCTCAAATGTCTTCTTCTCACTCCCCGACCATCCCCCAAAATGCCCCCCTCCCCCAGCAAGCGCATCATCCTCGAAAAGTCCCGCACCGTGCGCCGCCGGTACCAGCGCAGCAACAAACGCTTCCAATTCACGGCCTCACAGATCGCGCGCATCGAGCGCGAACAAGAGCGCGAGAAACGCGCCCAGCAGCTGCGCGACAAGGAGAAGAAACGAGTCGCGAATAAGAAGAAGAAAGCGGAGAAGGAGGCGCGCGATAGAGAGGAACGCAGGAGATTGGGGCGCATGGGATTGCCGGACCCGAATGCGCCCGTGCCGCCGTCGAGTCAGCCTTTGTTGTTTAATTTCATTAAGAGGAAGGATGGGGAGGAGGGGGAGAGTAGCAATGGTGGTGGGGATACAGAGGTAGATGAGGGTGGGGATACGGAGGTGGATGAGGATCTTTTGGAGGATTTGGAGGCCGTTGTTGATGCTGCTGAGGCTGAGGCTGATGGCTTGGATTTGGATTCGGGTCTGGATACTGGGGATGAGGGTGAGGGTGAGGGCGGGGATCATGGGGATGAGACTACGGGTTGCGATCAGGGTGATAATGAGGGCGATCAGCAGGTCCGGGCTATAGAGGAGGATGAGTTCTCTGATTGTTCTATCTTTTATGATGAGGATATTATCAAAGAGGCCGGTGATGCTACTACGCCCGATCAAGCTGCGTTGCACGATAAGCCGGAGAACCAACCCCACCCCTCAACTGCCGACTCATTCCAAGACGACACGGCACTCCTTCTCGAAGAATACGGGCATGAATTCGAAATAGACGAAGAGTTCGAGCAAGCACTGGTTGCGCTGGATGCCGTGTGATCCGAACGAATACTTTATAGTATATGGCAGATAAACAAAGCGCTTCCGACCCGAAGGCGATCCGCCTGTCGGATAGCGACGCCCCTCGTCGGCTCGGGCGGTGATAAGCGGGCGGCTTGCCTCCCCGCCACGAAGCCGTTGATCCGACGGATTCAACACGGTGAGAGAAAGGGTGAATATGGGTAAGCTGTATTGGCATGCAGCGGATGCAGTGAGAGGAAAGATGAATATCGGAAAGGACAAGTCATGGTGGAAAGTAAGGCCAAAAAGTTGAGGCCACAGCTCCTCCCCGCACATGACGTCGGCCAGAAGAGCTAGATGCATATCCGATCGATCGAACATCTCCGGCAATCATCTCCCCTCTCAACATTCTCCCCTCTCACCTTTCACAATCCATTGGAAATCCAAACCAGAAGAGACACCATGCCGACCGTCACCGTCAACAACCACCAAATCTATTACGCCGATACCCACCCGGACGGTGCTCCGGCCACCGGCCAAACCATCATTTTCATCCACGGCCTGGGCTCATCGCAGAACTACTACTTCCCGATCCTCCCATACCTAAGTAACCACCGCTGCATCACCCTCGATACCTACGGCTCAGCCCGATCAACATACACCGGCGACGCCATCAGCATTGCCTCCATCGCATCCGATGTAATCGGAGTCCTAGACGCCCTACAAGTCCCCAAGGCCGTGGCCGTCGGCCACTCCATGGGCGGGCTGGTAGTAACCCTGCTCGGCGCACAATACAGCGACCGCATATCAGGCGTCGTCGCTATTGGACCTACCCACCCGTCCGAGAAGCTCGCAGAGGTGATGACGCAGCGCAGCGAGACAGTGTCAAAGGGTGAGAGCAGGACCCAACCAACCAACTAGCAAGCAAGCAAACCAGTCATCTAACTAACATCTCTCCCAGCCGGCATGGAACCAATGGCAAACACCATCCCCAACGGAGCAACCGGCACCCGCAGCTCCGCACTCGTGAAATCATTCATTCGTGAATTGATCATCGGACAGAACCCCAAGGGTTACGCGGCGCTGTGTCTGGCGATCGCTAATGCGCCGGTCATTGAGTACTCGAAGGTCACGGCGCCATATCTGTTGATTGCAGGCGAGGAGGATAAGTCTGCGTCGATGGAGGGGTGCGAGCATATTCATGCGGGTGTGTCGAGTGCGCAGAAGAAGTTGGAGGTGTTGAAGGGGGTGGGACATTGGCATTGTGTGGAGGCGCCGGAGGAGGTGGGAGGGCTTATTGGGGGGTTTGTCCAGACTTTGTAGACTTTTATCATGTGAATGTTATACATAGAGTATGAATTGGTATGCTTAGATATCTGACGAAGCTACACTACAAAGTATGACCAAATCACTCTACATAGTACTAAACCATCGAATTGAAGAATACCATAGAACCATTTTGATAGACAATCGCTCATACCATACAATTTACCACAAATCATAGCACCAAAATATAAATAAAAAAAATAATATATACTATGAAAGTAAAATAGATCAGTTCGCCGGCGCCCGCACCAACTTAACATCATAGTTCAACTCAAGACCAGCTTGAGGATCATCCTTGCGAGGCACGAAATCCACAATCAGTGAATCCTTAACAGCAAACACCGAATCATTAGTGAGGTATTTATCCTTGGAATCGAAGATTTGCGTCGTGAGGGGCTTGTAGCCGTCGTATGTAGCCTGCGATACCCATAATTCTTAGCAAAACCAACCAACCAAGATATGAAAGGGGGAGGGAGATAAACGTACAATAATATGAATATGCGCGGGCCTAAACGGATGTCTATCCATCAACTCGAGCAGTTTTCCAGCGGGACCTATCCCAACAATCACATTAGCCACCACCACTCACCATCAAAAACAACAACAATAATAAAAAATGTATCTCACCATCATCAGGAACCGGATACGGCGTCGGCCTCAAACAATAAAAGCTATACCTCCCCTGCTCATCGGTCCTGAACTTCCCACGGAGATTAAACTCCTCTTGCTGGGGATCCTGCTGCTCATACAACCCATTCGTACTAGCCTGCCAGACCTCCACCGTGGCGCCGACGAGCGGCTTCTTGGTCTCAAAGTCCACGACTTGGCCGTGCATGAATGCCATTTCGCCTTCGCCATTGGGCGGCGGGGTCAGTACAATGTTCGCGCCGTTCTCGCGGTAGGGTGTGTCGGCACGGAAGAATGGGCCCAGGATGGCGGTTGCGGTGGGGGCGTCGGGGGCTTCGGAGGCGAGGGTGTAGGTGATTTCGTCTACTAGGCTGTAGATTATCTATTAGTATATGTTTGTGTGGAGGGGAGGGTTTGGTAAAGGGTATCTATCATACGACTCCAGTCCGATAACATCACAAACAAGCTGTCCCTCATTCCGCTTATCGTCACTCATTTGACCAGCCCAGTTGAGGAGCTTCACGCCAGCCATCCATTCATCGACGGTGAGTTCGTTCTCGCGCGCGTAGTCGTGGACGTGGCGGATTAGACCGGTCATTAATTGGCGGAAGCGCGGGGTCGTTTTTGGACCCATGCTGTTGATGACGTTGTCGGTGAAGTTGGGGTCGAAGCGCGGCATTTTGGATACTTTTTTCTTTTATTGTGTATGGGTATGTGTATGAAGGGTAGGTAGGTACTGGGTATAAGAGAGGGGAGATTTGAGGGAGAAAACTAGTAGAGTTAAACTGAGATGAATGGTGGTGTTTGGTGGTTTATATAGTAGTAACTAGTTAAGTACTAAGTTACTACTACTTAGTAGGGTGATTGTTAATGGATCCCCCGGATTCGCTGTCGCTGGTCGGAAAGCCCTCTTTGGCTCTGATCGGATGGACTTTTCCGATGGTTTTCCCCGCACGCTTCGGATGTTACTTTGTATGTCAATGTTTGGTTCAGATGATTCCCCACGCCGGATTGATCAAATTGCCTGATGGTTGCATACGACTTATCCACCATTATATGCACATACTAACTGGGTATGAAATTAAGAATGATGTTTTCCCGTCGGACCCCCCCTCTTCTTCCCTCCCTTCTGCGCCCATTCCGACGGCCACTCCTGCACCACCTGTCCACGTTCCCAAATCTTGCCCATCTTGCGCTCCACCACCACATCCACAAACTCCAATGGCACTACCTTCTCTCCCCCATCTTCCTTACCATCACCCCCATCCTTATTTACAGTCAATCCCTCACTAAGCACCACCCCATTCTCACTCCTCCAAAACGGACATCCCGCACTCAACGCCTTCTCCAAATCCACATAGATCAACACCTGCGCATCCCTCCGCATCCCCGATATAACCTGTCCCGGCGCGGCCACCGCATTCCCCGCCAATACATCCTCCACTGCTGGTCCCGTCGCAAAATGTACCTGGTTGCGGCCCATGCAGCGGAGTCCGCCGGAGGAGAAGATGGCTGGCCATGCGGAGTGGAATGTGCCGTGGACGACGGTGCGCGGGAGTTTATCTTTGTCCGAGAGGGAGAGTTTCTCGAGCAGGTGCGCTGCTTCGACGGTCTTGATGCTGTGGCCTTGTGTGGCGCGGATGAGGTAGTGGGAGGGATTGGGGTCGGTGGTGGTTGCGGCGAGGGCGGTGGTTGTGGTGGTTGTGTCGGTGGATTCTTGTTCGGTCTGGGTTTCTGGGCTGGGGTCTGTAGATGTAGATGTAGGAATTTGTTCCGTAGCGGTTGGTGTAGGTTGGGTTGTAGAGGGTGTGTATAGCAGCGCGAATCGCTTCTTATCGGAGTTTGCGACGGCGTCGACGATCTCGGGGAAGGTCACTTTGAGAGATTTGAGTTTGCGCCATGCTAGCTGTACACCGGATTCGATATTAGTTGGTAAGTTATTCTTGGGGTATGGCTCTGCTGTGGAAGACGCACCACATCAGATACATTGGCGTAGCCTTGCGCATCTATCGGTAGGCCTTCTTTTTCGGCGGCGTGACGGAGAAGCAGACTCAGTGCTTTCGACACCGTGACGGCGCGGCTGGCGGGAGGACGACCTTTAGGCATGATGACTTGCTGAGTGAACAAATCAAGTCTAACTGGGAAATTGGAGATGAGAATCAAGTGGGATGGAGTGTCAATAAGATGATGTGCGGAGGGAAGATGGAGGGGCTCGGCGGAACTTTTCCACCTCCGCGGGCCCACTTATGCTCCCCGATATCTACTATCTCATTCACAATCTTGTTCACTTTGTCACATGAATGATATACAATTAACAATAGTACAGTTAATGATGGTTCAATATCGTATTAATTCTTCCCACCCATCTATCTCTAAATATACTCCAGGCATCAACATAAACTATCAAACACCGCGAAATGGGTATATCACAAAACGCATCCCTCTGAATCAAACAATCCCTTAACCTGATCCCATCCTTATACTCATCCCAAGTAGGATCACCGATCACAAATACAACTACACTCCGCCACCGGACATACCTTATGTCGCGCAAACCACTCCCGCGCATGATGCGCATGGAATCCGTGGTTGCAATTAATGCAGAACACAATAAACCTCCGCATCAGTTCCGTCTCAGATGGACGTCGTCCCGCCGCATCTGCCGCCACACAAGCCTTGGACATCGGGTCCGGCGCTCCCAGCCACAGCGTGCATACTCCGCACCGCGGCATATGGCGCCCGCAGCGTGGACACACTGTGCCAGACATGGCGGCGCTGCCGAGGGGATTGCCGGGCGTTGGGTGTGTGACTTCGCCCGTCACCGAGGGGGTCAGTTGTGAGGAAGCGTCGTGCTGCGTGAGCGGTCGTGTGCAGTAGTTGCAGGTGAGACTGACTTGTTGGCGGGGTGGGTCGACCAGTTTGCGTCCGTCCCAGGTGACGGCGAACTTGCGGGAGCCGACGTCGAAGCGTGCGCGCTCGAGTTGCAGTTTCCAGGCGTTGATCTGCTGGCGGTAGGTCTCGCGCCAGGATTCGAAGCGGGCGCGGTCGGGTGAGTTGTTGATGAAGCGGGGGACGGTGTGGCTCATTGCCAGTACGGCCGTTTGGATGTCGTGGAACTTGTTGATGTACGATTGGAAGAGGTCCATGGCGGAATGGTTGAGTCCGGTCAGCAGGATGCCTTCGATGTCGCCTTGCTGGATGGCTGTGGTGGTGGTTTCGTGAAGATAGCTTGTCAGGTCGTCGTCCGGGAGCCAGCGTAGCGCTACCTCGATCCGGTATCTGAGCGGAAGAGTGGTCTCCTGGATGACAGAACGCCAGTCGCCCTTGCTCACGAGCGCGAGAATCGCTCGCGCGTAGGGGTCGGTGAGCTCCTTGGCTATCTCAGCGCAAGTGTCTTCCCAGTCTGAGTCGGTGTCGCCTTTCGCGGCTCCTGCAATGGCCATGGCGAGTAGTTTATGAGCTTGGGTGGGCTCGTGGCTCCGCAGAGCCAGGTATGCAAGTTTCGCTTCGTCTTGGAACATGGCCAGCGCAGCGGCCTTGGTGTGTTGCTTGTCAGCGGACAATGTCTTGACCAACTCTTCAAGCTCCCGGTGCGATTGCGCTGCGCCGCAAAGTCGCAGGCACAGCCGGCGATGTTCGGGGTATTCGGTCTCGCAGCCTTTCGTCTCGGGGAGGTTGAGCTGATCTTGAACCAGCTCCACGATGGTTTCGTGAATGTCGGATGCCGGGTTGCCACCGACTCGTCGGTTATGGAGACTCTCTCCTGTTGGAGTTAGCCATGCACGTACTCCAGGAAACCAGGCTACCTACCTAAATCGTTGTTCCAGACATCGTAAACGCCCAGGTAGTTCAGATCCAGCCCGTTGATAATCATAGATTCATTGCTAGAGTCGGAGCGTGCACCTACTGCAATTAGTACATCCCGTAATATTCGGTTCCGCACTTACGTTCAGCCCAATCCCAGAAGCCTTGCAGCCATGGGTCATCAGCGAGAATCTTCTTGTTCCGTGCCTCGTCAAACAAATAGCCTTCTTTGCAGCGAAACCGGTTCACCGATAACAGAGTTAGAGCATCCTTTACAGGCAGCTGACCGCCCAAGGTCCCCAACGACAAGGCATGTTCCCTCGCCTCACGGCTCGACAAAGGCGTGGCTGGCCAATTGCCGGCCCGACGTCCTTTCTGCGAAGTCTGCCCATTCGAATCAGACTCTGCTCGTTCGCGGACTTCCTCCACCATCTCCGAAATGCTCAATCCGTGACTGGACTGGGGATTGATCGCTCGGAAATCAGAATCCTCATCCGAAGTGCCCCATATCAAGGTCCCTTGCGACGAAAGCCGCACCGGTGGCGCTGGAGGCTTCACGGTGAGAATGTTCACCTCATCGTTTCCGGAAATCGTAATGGCGCTGGGCTCATTGCCCGGACTCATATTAAGAAAATCGAATGCCACAACCCTATCCTTCTCATCGTACCCCCGAGACGGATGATTGTATGGCGTAACAACGTCTCTGACGTGCTTGGTATAGATCTGCTCGGGGTAGTTCCTCGCCGAGCCCTGACCCAGAGTCTCATCCATGGACGATCGCATCTCCTCGTCCAGATACTCCTTGACGATGTCGTAGGTCTTGAAATGCCCCGTATTGGACAGCACACCCAGACAGCCCCTCTTGGTCCTGGAGAAGCGCAAACTCCAGATAGTCGACTTGGGCGCAATGACATTCCCAAACTCCAGCGACGGCCCCAGCTGGCTCGTCTCCAGGGCATTTGCCGGCCCAACAGCCGGGGTAATGAAGCGCGACCCAATGCGCCGATCCCAGATACAGATAGTCGGATCATTAGTGGCCTGACAAGAGGCAATATAATTCTCATCAAGCCAGTCAATAGCCACATTATGCACACAGCGCGTAGGAAATTGCAGTGACGGGTTTCCAGGTCCCTCTGTTTCAATCAGCATCCATCACCCACTCACCCCACTAGGAACTAGAGGAGAATAAACAAACTCACCTCTCAAGTCATAAATCCTCACAAACTGCCCCTTCACCCCCGTAACCAACGTATCCGGCTGATCACTAAAGAACTTGACACTAGTAATAGGTTCCGAACTGGCCAACTTCCTCAACGGCTCCACAAACCCCTTGACAGCCTTACTCGCCAACCTCTGATTAACATCCCAGATGTTCAAACAGAAGTCATTGCGCACCCGGTCCAGCCCCGCAGCCAGCAACCCATGCGTACTGAACGCAACCGCATTACAGTACCGCTGATGTCGAATCGGAAACGAGTACGATTCCTGACTATCGCTCTTCATGCGCAATATCGTCGCATCCCCGGACGACTGGCCCACCGCGACTAATGATTCATCCACCGGTGACCAATCGAATGCCCGGAAGGCGGGCACTTTCGTATGCGTCGCTAGCTCTTCATGCTCCAGACGGCCTCCCCGCTCATATGAGGTTACCTTGCACAGTCGGAAGGCTTTGCCTGTCACGTCCACGGAGAGGAAGCGTTGTTCGCCTGTCGTGGAGGTGGGGGACCACCGGATGGCTTTTTCCATTTTATTTTTTCCCTGATATTTCCTTTTTGGGGGGGAGGGAAACTTATGGTGTGGGTTTGTGATCTGTCCGCTTTTCTGTGTGGTTTGTTGTGTGCCCACTTCTCTCACACTCACACACTCTTACGCCGCCGTCGCCCCTGGGTTCTGGACTGGGGACTGGGGCTGGGCTAGGCTAGGCTGGGCTGGGAGGGCTTCGTCGCAGATGCGACTGGACCGGTCACGAACTGAGATGTGATTTCAGCCGCGCGAATCTGATCTGTCACTGCCCATCGGTGGGGGATTATTCCTTTTTTTTTCTTTGGTTTCAAAATATCAATCGCACATCAGGAAGACCCGTCTAGCCCAGATAGACAGCAATCATGGGAGTAGTCCTTGCTCCTGCCTTTGCAAGGTAGTAATGATATAGAGGAAGTGTAAGAGGAACAGTAGTTCAATCCATATCCTTGAAATGCGGCGCGCGTCATGGGACTATCCCCGCGCTGATTGGCCAATCTCGCCTTCCAGCAATCCGGGGCAGCTTTTTTCCCGGCCCGACAGATGATCCGACCATTATCACTTTTTCAAAATAATATTCCATTAAAACTAATTGCAAACAATTTACCATCAGCCTCCCCCTTCTTTCTCCTTCTCACTCAGACCGCACCCCGGAAAGAGAAAAGAACCCGAGATAACAATGCCACGAGAGTACGCCCCCGCCGACAGAAAACGCAAATCCCACGATATCTCCGACGATGCAGATGCAGCAGCAGCAACAGCGCCCGGAGGAGGCCCGCGGAAGAAAATCCACCTTCCCAAGAAAGAACACAAGTACCCGTCTGTGAACGAGCTCAAGAAACGGATTCGGGATGTGAAGCGTCTTCTCAACAAGACGGATTTGCCGGCTGATGCGCGCATCGTGCAGGAGCGTGCGTTGTCGGGGTATGAGAAGGAATTGGAGGATGAGTTAAAGAGGAGGGATCGGTCGAAGATGATTAAGAAGTATCATTTTGTGAGGTTTTTGGGTATGCTTTCCCCTTCTCTTCCAGAGAATTCTCTGCTATGCTGTTATCTTATATGGGCTGTTGCTAATCTGGATTTCGATTGTAGACCGCAAAACCGCAACCAAAGACGTGAACCGGCTGGTGCGCCGCGAAAAGGAAGTCTCGAGTGCCGGTCCCGATGTCATGGATGAGAAGACCAAGGAGAAGAAGCTTGCTTCGTTGGCCGGGAAGCTCCGAGTCGCTCGCGTGAACTTGAACTATACGATCTACTATCCGTTGGATGAGAAGTATATCGCCTTGTACGCGGAGCAGAAGAAGAAGGTCAAGGGAGAGGGTGCTGAGGATGGTGGCGATGGCGCTGACTCGGACGGTGATGCGCGGTTTGGAATGGTGCATGCGACGGTTGCGGATAAGCCGGCGATGTGGCATGTGGTGGAGAAGTGTATGAAGGATGGGACGTTGGACATGTTGAGGGATGGGAAGTTGGAGTCTGGGGCGAAGGCTGGAGAGAAGGATCGGAAGAAGGAGGAGAGAAGTCAAAGGGGTGGTGAGAAGGCGAAGAAGAGCCAGGAGCGTGGGCTGTCGTCGTCGCAGACTGGGAAGAGCAAGGACAGGTCCAGGAAGGCGGATGATAGGAAGAGGACTAGGGGATCGGCTGCTGAGGATCATGTCATGCGGGATGCGGGCAATGATGATGGCGAGGAGAGTGATGGCGGTTTCTTTGAGATGTGAAATTGCCGTGTGTCTGGGCTGGTTGAGCGTGAACGCATTTTCTGGAGTTGGAGTTACATGTCTTATCTGTTTCTTTCCTGGGCCTTTCTCATTGAAGTGTGCGGCTATGCCCTTATACGATACCCAATGATCAAGTGTTTTCAACTATCCGAGTTCCTACAATAAAACGCTAGAGGCTAGATGCTAAGAACCAGTTCGAATCTAAATGATTGTTTGTGGATACTTTCACCAACTCCGGCTTCGCCATCCTTCTAAGTACAGTAGATGAACGAGAAATACACGTCGATCGATGGCAGACCGACTCGCCAGAACACCCGAAAGATGCGCAGTGGTGACCCGGATCGTCAGGGCAGTCAACGCTCCCAATGTCTCTGGGCCGACTAAGTGACTGGCACTTGTCGCGAAATCATCATGTCATATCTCATAGCATGCCCCAGTAGAGCAATGCTTGCAAACCCAGCATGTGATACCAGCGGCCATCTACCCAACAGGGTGAGACGAACATTGGTACACGAGGGGCAAGGTTTCCAGAACCTAGTAAATCAAACATTGAAACGAGTGATCGCTCCAAACACACTTTCTCTCGCAAGATCGCCCATCAGACGAGTAATCATCTTACATGACGCTGCAGCCTCCTGTGCCGCCGCCTTCGGTGTGTCGCCGTCTTCCTGCCCCGAGTGTAGTGACAGACCCGACACCGAAAGCTGCGTCTTCGTCGTCTTCGTTATAGATTCTCTCAGCTTCACGGGCTCGACGCCGTCTTCTTCTCACCCCAGATCCCGGAGCACCCGCTTCTTCGGTTGCCATCATATACTCGGCCCACTTCCGGTCTAGCCTGCTCGCAGCCATAAGATCACCACGGAGAACTCGCTTGTTGTGCTCATCCACGGTCGGCTGCCAGCCATAGAAGCACTTCAGATGGATAATTTCGTTGGGGTATACGGGTGGCGGCGGCGGAGGTGTGATAGAGGAAGCAATCACGGTCGTGGACTGACTGGGATCTACCGTGTGGGTGACAACCGAGACTGCTTGCATGGATTTGCGGGTAGCGCGCGGGAGATACGCATTGCTTGAGAGGACTTCCCTAACCCCGGCCCAGGTGACATTGGCGCAGTCAAATACAACCAAACGGAGGCCGATCTTGGGAAGGTTCTCATCGTAGCCACGCTTGCGCACGCGGAAGCTGGCCTCCATTAGGGTCAGGTCGGACACCCGAGTGTTGTCCATTTCAACGGAACGGAGGGAAGGACAATTTTTCATGATCTGCAAGGTTCCAATGTCGCCAATGCTCTCACAATAACTGATGTTAAGGTGTTGCAGGCGGGCAGCACACGGGGACTTGGCAAGCTCGAGAAGCGTATGGTTGGAAAGCCTTTCCATATCCTCCAGGTCGAGGTGTGTCAGGCGAGGAGTGGTCCGAATCACCGCCATGACAGAATCGTCGGTGAGCTCAGAGCATTGTGAGAGCTGCAGGCCTTCCAGATCCGGCACATTGTGGGCAAGACACTTAACACTGTCATCTGTCAACTCCGTGCACTGGTGGATATCTAGATGTTTCAGTCGTCGCGGAGGGACAAGCGCGCGTTCCTCGAGAAGATCCATTTCAGGGTCAAGGCCATGCACAAGCGCCTTCAGACACTCGTCCGTAAGATCGGTGCGACTCATGATCAGGCGTTCCAGAGTATTTTTCTCGAAAAGTTGTACGGCGAATTCGACATCGTCGAACCCACGAATTTCACTCGCCCTGAGATCCTTCAAATTATTGCACGCGCCGACAATCTTCTTTAGCCCCGCAGTATGAACGCCGGTGCACCAGGATACATTCAAGATCTGAAGTTGAGGGCAGGACTGTGCGATAATCGTCATGGCAGAGTCACTAACAGACGATAAGCCAGACAAGTTTATATACTCCAGTCGGGGGTTGCGCAAGAGAAAGCAGTTGATCGATTGAGTGTCAATGCGACATCCTTCCAACGAGAAGTTGACGACGTTTCGGCACAAGTCGGTGATGCGATCGCCGTCTGTCTTCCACTTATCCTTCAATTGGACACAGCCCCGGAGATTGAGATCGCGAACGAACGGCCCACCGGCGGTAATAAGCTTTACAAGACCATCGCTAGGGATATCGCGGTAGTAGTCTGTCGTGTCGACTTCGGTCCACAACTGTCCATCATAACACATTTTGTTCCATGCCCTCGAAACAGCAGAGCAACGGACAATCTCCTTCGGGGTGAGGTACTGGAAAATGCGCATCTTCAGCTCATCCGGCATATTCCCCCAGAAATCAAAGACCTTCTTTGGCTTGGGGGTCGACCGCGCCGTGGCAGTCTGATCGGCAGCATCCATTCCCAGCGGGGACCCACGAGATCCTGGTCGCAGATCGGTAGGCAATGGAACTGTCCGCGCATTGGGCGAGTCGGAACCGACAAGGCGGATTCGAGGGTTTCCATCGTGGTCTACTGGGAAGGCAGCAGCACCGGGGGTAATTGGACGGGCGTTCAATCCACCATAGAGTTGAGAGGTGCTTCCATTACCCAGACAAGGAGTGTATGCGGATTGGGAAAGGGAGACACAGGACAAAGAGGCCTTGTTGTCACGACGGTATCCCGTAGAATGGGACCGGCCCCGTCTGGTCAGACTCGGGCTGGACGAGATGCGCTGCAGGCTCTGGAGCAACTTGTGACGTCCCTTGAGTTTGGGCGGTTGTTCCAAAGGGATCTGGCCAGTTGAAGAAGCCGGGCTCGCCGGCGAGGCCGCTTCAGGCGAAGGCCTGATTTCATCAGGAAATGCGGTAGCCATGACGGAATTGCGGTATCTAGATCCGAGGCTCCTATGATCACAAATATCTCAACGGTATGTCGGAGAAGGCGGAGAGGTATGCGAAAGGTTTGTAGACAGTCGAACAGCTAGCCAGGACGATTCGTGGCAGCGACAAGCACGGGTGGTCGCAGTAAATCCAGTCCTAGACAGTCATAATGAAGCCAGACCGCCAGCCGTTCCGCAAGTATGATTCTCGAGATAGCGATAACCGCGATAACACCTTTATCGCCCTGATCGAAGCAAAAACGCCGAACCCCGATCCTGCGGACGGACAGGTTTTGTCGAGAGAGCGATGAGGAAGCGAAATGGAGAGGATGAGGGTCAGCAGGGCAGCAGACAAACAAGCGACCAAGTCGGGGGAATGTCTCGGCTAAGGAGTGTTAACGATGGTACCATGGGACAGGAGACCGCGTAACCCCGGAGAAGTGGCAGCGATTGCGGGTGGCCGGCACAGGCTTTGGATTTCCCTCCAAGTAAAAAAGAACACTGGGTTTCGTACAGACGTCACCGAAGCATCATCCACAGTGGTCAACACGAAAAGGTAAAAGGGAAGCAAGCAGTAAGGCTACACGCAAACGGAAGACCCTGCAGGAAAGCGAACAGCGAAGATAGTAGTAGTTGATGGGAGAAGAAAGAAAGCAGGCAAGTAAGTAGGCAAGCAAGAAAGAAAGAAGACAGAAGGGGGGGAGGAAGAAATCACGTAAGGCTGGCCAAGTCAGACGACAGCCAGTTATCGGACAGCAGGCAATTCAGTCTGACGGACAGAGCCACCACTGCCACTAACACACACCAGTAGAAAAGAGAGAAACACCGAAACAAAAAAAAAAAAAAGGCTCAGGGAGCGTGGAGACTCGATGGCCTGCATGGCCACCACAGAAACAATGGAGAACGGACCGGGCGAGCTTACTGGATTGGACCATTCACAGCAGCCACTTGTTCCCCATTCTGAGCAACACATAACCAGTCGGTGGGAAGAGGGGAACTTGCCGAACAATACCGTACCTGTCGGGGGATCGTTGTTCAATAGTCCGTTCAATCCGTGAGACGTGAGTTGAGTTTACTTTGACTAGTAAGTAGTAACTGAGTTACCCCACAGGCTTATCGAGACATTCCATTCTCTCCTGCCAAAACTTATCGATTAGACTAGCGCTGTTTCTCATTCCCCACTTTTGGCTCCCAGGCGGTGGCGGTGGTTCCCGGCGGAGTCAATCCAACACGCGGCATTTTATTTCTTTACCGTCTGTTCCGATCAGTAAATGGTCAATTAAATTTGAACAATGGCTTCTGATTCATTTTTCAAAGAAGGACAGATAAGAAATGGTGGTCTCATGGACATACTCCCTCAGATCAGAAGTTCAAGTCAGCCGATCAATCGAGAAAAAGGTTCACCTGTCAAAAGATAAGGATGGCGGGAAAAGGGCATCATTACTGTACGATCGGTATGCAAAACGACTGGGAAAGAATGGTAATATTGATAACCATTATACTAGTAGTTAGTATCTAGTGTTATAGACTGGCTTAGCTCTCTCTCTCTCTCTCTTCCTTGTTCCTTGTCTTGAAAATGCAGTTACCTAGAAACAGCATATCCTCTGATTCTGCCATGGATACTTATGCCAGGCAAAAAGACAAACACCATTCCCATTCCAACATCCCACAACATACATACAAACGCCTCTCCAAGAGAAACAAGGGCATGTAAAAAAGAAAAGAAAACAGAAGAACCCCCCCCCCCCCCCTCCCAAATCCCAATCCCTGTCCATCCTCCATTCTCTCTCCTCTCCTCTCCCTCTCCACTTCCACCAAAAGAAAACAACCCACAACCCACTTTAAACCCACCAAGCAGAGCCCAGAACACCACTCCCCATGCCACGGTACACTTCAAAAGCACCACAACACAGCACAGAAGAACAAGGGCCCAAGCCCGACCCGACCGGGGCTCCGAATGGCGGAAAACGGCTTTTCGTTCCTGGTCGGGTTTGTTCCTTCTTGTGACCCAATGATAGTGCAATTTTGGTGTGTGTGGAGTGATGTGGCTAAGTCAGTAAGACAGACAAGTGATTGTTAGTTACTTAGTTACAGAAAAAACAGTCGTGTTTTCTTGTCTCCACCCCACACTAAATCATCCTGTTCAGTGCTAGTCTACTCCTTAGTATCTAAGGGATGGATGGATGGATGGAGACTGTGTTGCTGCCTAGGTTGTATTCTATCTCGTTGTTGTTCGCCTCTCACATACACAGTGTATAACGCCACCACTAGAGAAAAAGAGAGTAGTAATGGAACAATGGGTAGAGAATTCAATGTATCGAATAATCAACCAACATATTGAAGTCACGGGGTCGATAGGTAAGGGGAAATAGACTAGATACATGCAGAATAGGTAAATAGACTAGATAGATAGATACATTCTCTACGCCGTACTCCCTCACAGCAATCGAGGTATCGAATTCGTACCTGACTGACAGGTCAGACTCGCCGGCTAATACGCCCCAAACCAGTAAGGCACCCACCCATCTAACTATTTAGTAGTACTATCTATCCACCCCTCACATCCTCAGATCCATCCACTTTTGTCACATTCAAACTAATTGATGAGATTACTCATGGTTATGTGATAGGTAGTGTTACTTTTATCTGGGACACACTTGGTTCTGTACTAAAATATGAAGGCAGCCTACCATCTTACGTTCTATCGTCTTTAGTTGGCCACTATTTTGCTGGGAAAAGACATTCAAATGAGTAACTGTCTGACTGACTGACTACCTCTTGGTGTGATCTCACAGTACATCACGGATCACCGCCGGAGTTTCTCAGGCGGCTGACGGCCACGAGTTTCGACTGCCTCACTTACTGGCTAGACTACTAGTCCATAGATTAACTACTAGTATAGCTATGGCTAGACTATTACTTTTACGAGCACTAGTCTTTGGCTTTTTTTTTCTTCCCCCGCTTCCACCCCCGCAGTTGGTAAGGTAAGCAAGCCCGGCGAGATCCTCGCGCCATGTGGGATACGACTGGAACCAAACAGAAAGTAACTGGTTGATTTAGTGCATGAATTGGTCGTGTCTCTCTATTCGTGCCCGCTTAATCTAGATTGCAGACTGGCTCTTTGTGGCTGAAGGAACATGTAAAGACACTCGGCGTGTCAAAGAAAGAGGAAAAAGAAAATAACACCACTGCTGAGGGTATATCGGATCTTTCATATGCATGTACTGCCAATTCTCATCACCCCTGGGCCATGCATGGTATCAAAGATGGTCCAAGTAAATGCAAAAAGAAGGAAAAGAAAAAAGAACATCATCTAACCAAAAGAGCATAACAAGATGACAATGGGGTATCTCAGCCTCCGTAAACCTCTATACAAATGACCCACGGGCCTCTCGGTCTGTTCAGGCATTTTCGTTATCATCCGTTCCCAATGATTCCCGTCCCGTCTCGTGCCCCCAATCCACAAGTTTCCCCCACGCTCCTATATGCCCTTGAACCGTTTCATCCTGCTCGACTTCATCCATTTTCATCATTTTCATTCATAAACTCCATTGCATCTGGAGTCGTCGCATACGCTGCTCGTTATCACCATCGTCAACGTCACGGAAGTGTAAGCAAGATTAAGAAAGACCAAGTCTCTGCATAGGCGGGCGGGCGATGTCTGAAAAGCTGCACAATATCATCCAATGTAACATGCCACGGCGCATTTCATCTTCTTTGTCATAGTGCTCAACTGTCAATCATCCATGGATGCTCCAAAACTTCACTGATCGTCAGTCGGTTGTCCACATCTCGGTCAAGCATCCTCCGGATTAGGTCGATGCAATCCTCGGAGAAGGGCAAGAACGGAACTCGAAGAGGGTGATCCAAAATTTCGTCAACATTGTAAAAGGGATTCTCTTTGTAGACGATGGTGTAGAGTAAGATACCAAGGGCCCAAATGTCTTGCTCCTTGCCTCGGTAGGATTTGCCTTGAAGAACCTCGGGTGCTGCGTAATCTTCAACAAGTCAGCTTCTAGAGATTTCAGTTGGAGAAATGAGGATATTTACCAATCGTGCCCACGAACACATCAAAGGGTCCATTCTTGATATAGGCGGCACTCCCAAAATCAATCAGCTTAATTCGACCTTCCCCGTCCAAAATGACGTTCTCGTCTTTGATGTCGCGATGCACGACCAAAGCCTTCGTATGGAGATGATGAATTGCATCCACAACCTGCTTGAAGATATTCTGGCATTCCGCCTCATCCATATTCGCTTTCAGCTCAATGTAATCGAAGAGGTCCATTCCAGGTAGCCCGTGTGGCGTCATCTCAATGTAATAATTGATATCGTCCTCGAAAAATCCTTCCATTTCCACGATGTTGGGATGCTTCAGACCGTCGCGTCGGAGATAGTTCAGAACGTGGATTTCTAATGGTACCGTTCCTAGACGACGATCGCGGGTCCATGTATCGACAAGAATCCGTTTCTTCGTAACATACTTCAGAACGACTTTCTTGGTTGGAATCTTCTTCATGCGCGCAAGCTTCACTTCTCCGTAGGCTCCTTGACCCATCTCTTCGAGGATAATGTAATCGGCAATTGTTCGTTTTTGAGGCACCTCTTTGGTACCAGCCGGTCTTACTTCGGGCACTGGCTGGACCGGTTTGTCTGTTAGCGGTTGCGAAGCTGCTTCACTCAACTGCTGGCTTAAGGTAGAGGTCGGTATGTGCGTCTCTACCGATGTCCGCTCCGAGCCAATGGCATAAGGAGTAGAAGCCGTTGTGGAAGCCAGATTCGATGCAGAAATAGAAGACGGGCTTTCTGTCCGGGACGGCGGAGAAGGGAAGCCAGCCGCGGGAGCTGCCGAGTGGATATGTCTCGAATATGTCACCCAAAGTGCGTATACAAGCTCTGTGACAGCTTCAAACTCCGAGTCGCTGTGGTCTCCTGAATTGGGATCATCTCGTGCCTTGGGGAACATTGTACCGCTCTTGGCCACACGCATCTGGACATCTACAGCAATCGAGGAGCCATCGCGATGCACGGCAGCAAGGCCAGATGGTTCCAGGAAGACCGAGGCCACATTGGATTTGCCATCGCGGAGAATAGAGAGGGTGCGCGCTCTCCGGAAGCTGGGTTCAGAGATCACCAGGCCGTCAACCAGCGGTACACTCTCCTCCTCGGTGAGCACGTTCAGCAAGCCGTCGAAGCCAGGTATCAAATCATTAACGTGTAGGCCTTCAGGTCGCTCATGTCCAAACAGCGCGGACGAGAAGACGGAATTGGAGCTGACAATTTTCAAAGTCGAAGAGGACAGCACCATCATACCTGCGACATGAGGAAAGCTCGATATTCGAAGGCATCTTGAGCTGTCGCCCTTGGTGATGGTGGACGGTATGCAGATTCCAGCTGATGTGCGAGAAGCAAAGTACTTCTTCTCGGTGATTTTGCTGAGGCCTTGATCGATTGGAGATGTAAGGCAGTCTGGCGGCAGATTAGGAAGCAACTCCGTGATCCGTTCTCCAGTTTTCGCCGCACCCTGACCCCAGACTTTGTCAATATCGCCGGTGGCGTCAGCAATGTTCCAGGATTCATCGCAACGAACGAACGCGACATTCTCCTGGATCTCCTCCATCACCCAAATCAAACCACCACGCTTTTCCATCACCCAGATGCTGGCAGAGCCTCTCTTGCCATCACGCTTTTCGATAGGTACCACATCTCCGCACAGCAGTACACCTCGGGACTTGGTTGCCGGATGATTCAGCTGCCTTGCGCTCGAGCCGTATCCGTCGTCAGTCTGGGCCCTCCTCGGAGCCCTTGCTCGAGAAGGAGGCTTGCTGAGCAGCTGCGCTGTTACACCATTGCCCATTCCCATCGATTTCGGATTCACAGGCTTGACACGAGTCTTATCCGGCGAAGGTTGGGCCCTTACGGCAGCATCAGTGGTGGGGTCCCGCAGTTTCGACTCAACCCACTGTCTGCGGTCTTTCTGTACGACTTCGAGGATACTTAGCTTGCGGAGTTCCGCTTGTGTGACACCAAAGATGAGACACGAGATGTCATTCGCC